TTCATTTATGAAATAAAATTTGTCTTGTTGCTTTGATTGAGGGGGAGTTATTTCCTAATTATGCATATTTTGAGGGAGAGTTCTTAACTTTTTTTTTTTATCATAATCAAAATAGGGGAAAAATATTTAAAGCCTCTTATGATTGAATTTAAATATTATTTGGTATGTTTAATGTTTTTGTTAGTGTGACAGATAAAACAGGTTATTACAGGACTTTAAAAGAAAATTTTGATCATCATCAAAAAGGGAGAGATTGTTGAAACATACAAGGACATGAATGTTGAACTTACGTGGATATGAAGTTTGTTGATTTTGATGATGATTCAAGAACAATGGACTTAGAGAGTTAAAGACTTGTATTCTTGTGTAATAACTCTGTTTTGATGATTTTTAGTCTGTAATATTAGAGTCTAAGATAGCCAGCACATAGTCTACTCTTTAGAAGCTTCAAAAACTCATGTTTATCAAAAACACACTGGTTTAATCGATTAAAAGGCCAAATAATCGATTATTACATAGAGAAAAATCATTTTCTGTATCAGTTCTCTGGAATAATCGATTAACAGGTATGTTAATCGATTAACAGGCTAAATAATCGATTAACTGGCGTGGTTATGAGTTTCTGTTGATTTTGACACTGTAATAATCGATTAACACTCAAGATAATCGATTATCTCAATCAGATATGCATTTTAAACTTCAAAATTAGACCAAGTTTCGAAAATCCTAGTCCCAATACACCAGGTTTCGAAAATCCCCAATTCCCAAACCCTAATTCATCTACTTAAGGTTCTCTAAGGCTCTCTGCAAATTGAACAACCTTTTTCAAACAAAAGTTGAGAGTTGTGATTGCCAGAGAACTGTTTGTTGGAGGAAAAAGGGGCTTTTGGAACCTAGTGTGGACTAGAAGCGATAAGAATCACTAAGTGGAGTTCTTGATGGATTGGGTGTTGTGCCGTCTCTAGGGAAACTGTTCTTCATCTCTTGTATGACTTAAGAGAAGTGTTTTCGTTACCTTATCTTTTCATTTGTAATCTGCTTGTATAACTTTGATTATAGTGACATCGTTAATCCTCTGTTTGAGTGATTAACAACTGGACATAGGATCTTTTTATCCGAACCAGTATAAATCTTCTATGTAAGACTCTATCCTTATTCTATTTACGTTTACACAGCATTTTAATCGGTAAAATTTGGAAAAAAAATTTAAAACCTAATTTTTGTTAAGAAACCAATTCACCCCCTACTCTTGGTTTTTGTCTGTTCACGCAAACATTTCGCTGCGCGTTTCTAACACCAAGAAGCTCCAAGAGCCAAGTCAGCACCTGAGATAGGAAGGAAATACGTTGGTAGCTGTATTAAATGATTTTGGATGGTAGCTTTTAATCTATTAATAAGTCCCTCATGCATTTCTATTACATTGAAATTCTAGATTGATTCGACAAGAAGTTTAAGACAAGTAGTAATTCTTGCCTGTAAAAAGTTGTCAGAACTCCTACTATCTAAGAGAATCTATACTTATAAGTCATTAATAACCCCTTTAAATCTCATGGTACCAAGGCCCGCAGAACAATGAAGAACAAATGTGATTCACACTAAGGTTGAGGCTTTGTATGAACAGTGGTAACAATAGAATCCAATACAGATTCATTAGTATTTTCTTCTTCATCTAAGTGTAACCAGAGATATTGTTTATTGGGACACTTGTGGGAGGGGGTATATTTGTCATCTCATATGAAGCACAAACCCTCTCTCCTCAACGGGATTTTTGCAGAAGACATTTTCTTAACAACAACATTTTTTGTTATTGTATTTGGGTTTGATTTACGCAATAAAGGTGGTAATGCAATGGACTTGAGAGATTGGGAGTTTGTAGGTAGTATTTGATTTTTGGTATGGTAATTGGACAAATATAGTTTATGTTTCATAGCATACTTTTCTTTAAAGAGTTTGACCAAGGAAACATATCTCATGAATGTGGTGGGAGCTTGAACCAACACATCACGACGAATTTCATGTTGCAATCCTCCCACAAAACAATCCAATAGAGCCTCACTGGTGACACCTTGCACACAATTAGCAAGAGTTGCCAATTTAACATAATATTCCTAAACAAAATCTTCCCATGTAAGTTTAAACTGATCCGATGTAGGACATTCATAAGGTGAAAGGCCAAATTCTCACTCCAATACAAGAGTGAATGCAATCCAACTATGAAGTGCATTAGCTCTAGACTGCATTTAGAACCATGAAACCACCTCCTTTTCCAAATGTACAACACGAGTGAGTACAAGTTCATCCAAAGTTTTATAATAATAATAAAAAATGGTTCCACTTTGAAAATCTATTGAAACACATCCGATCCAAAACCTAACTTGACATTACGAACTTGGAATGATGTTCTGAGAGTAAACACGTGAACCTATTTCTAAGGTTTGAATCAATTTTAACACTGAGTCCATCAAAGTCTCCAACATCTCAAATCGTGTAGAATCATCTCTGACATTCTTTAAGATCTGCAATCAAACTCTTCAAGTCACAATACATAACAACAACTGCATTGGTCAATTGCTTGACGTTTTTATTCAAGAATCCAACAATTATAGAAATGTCAGAGACAATTAACGTAAGAAACAAGCAAGCTGAAACTCACTCACACTATTGCCACTCAAAAAGAATAGAGAGAATTGAGCTAGAAGAGGAAGATCTCAATTCATTTCATTCCCCCTTTCTCTCTCCTAAATTTATGTTATTTATACTATTAGTTATTTCTTTAAGAAATTCTTCAACCAAGTACTTTTCTCATATCTCACGCTTATTTTCCTTGTCATGCTTTTCGTGCCTTCAGCCATGAGTTCCTCTGATATTGGTCTATCTGTCTATCTATAACGGTCTCTACCTCAACCTTTCCATGCATTCTCCTTACAAAACTCATAATAAAATATTTATTTTTATTCTTAAACATCTTTTAATAAGAACTCCCTTTGTCATTCTCATTCTATAAACATGTCAATACTTTTGTTCAATCATACGTTGTCACTTGTCAAAGAAGCTTGATAATTACAAAAAGTATTCTAGAGGTGAAACTCTTTTAATGATGAGAAAATACAATTTAGAGATAGTGTAACAAATCAAAATTAAAGAAGAAACTCATTCCCTTGAGAGATGCTTAAAGTGGATTGCTATCTCTTCTAATTTTAAGAATATCACTTTACCCCTGTACAAATTGAATATGTACTACACTTCAATGGCAACTATTATAATGAGCCTCACAAAGACATTTTCCCTGGTGAACAACTTCTAGTATAACCAACAGCTAATTTTGGACAATCTATTATTGAGTTTAGGACTTAAGAAGATGAATGAATTTTTAAACACCCCTACTATCAGTTTTGAAATATCATTATTTTTATTTCATCTTATAAAGTCACGACGTTAATAATAGATGCTCAACATTATGTTCAATCAAACCAAGAATCATAGCAATGGAAAACATCTTCCCTACAAAGCTCATATTCACCTCTCCAGGGAGGGATTATAAATTATAATTTACTCAAATTGATAGTCTATATGTGTGAATGGATATAGTAGTAAGCAATAAGGTGAGGGGACGGGTAGAGAGATTATACAGAAGAATTGGGGAGCTTTTTGTTTGGGTACAAACCAGCCAGTCAGAGTTTAAAAGGTATGAAATCCCAAATAGTGAAAACAAAAATAAAACAAAAAAATATTGTAAGCCCACTATATTTATGCACATATTAGACAACTTACAATTAATAGAAAAAGAAAACGATGAATGAAAGCATGATCAGTATAGATTAATAAAAATCAATGAAATTCAGGACATGGGCACAATGATTCTGCTTAAATAAGCTTAGAGCATCATAATATTTGTCTGTGATGTAAATTTTCACGTTACAACATATAACAGGATTAAATTTGTCAATCATAAATATAAAGTAGCCAACATAATACATTAGCAAGCAATTTAAAAGTGCACTCTCCAAAGAAATTCCTTTTTCCTTTTTTGAATGAAATCATAACTTCAATGCTGTGTTAAAATTCCATGCAGGGTATGTTTATTGAACTCTCCAACAATAAATCTCGAAACAACCTCATCTCAATATCAATACTGTTACAGTATTTTGCAAACTTTATTACTAATTTTAATTTATGTATTTCTTTTCTCAATAACGTTAAACGGGAATCAATGAGAAGGGCATCATTTACAGAAAAAGAGAGATTAGGAGAATTCAGCAGAAGAATGTAACTGATAAAAATAAATTTATTGATAAAAAGAGGTAAGTGAATTCCGAATACCAAGATACAATACAGTAATGAGAAAATTATTGTGCATTCAAATGCTAACATAGCATAGAACTTGAAGAGCACTGACTTTTATTTTCCATTCATTGTACAAATTGTGATGGAAAACAAAAAGGTGTATCACTAGGCTTAAAAAGATAATTAAAACTGTAATATGCACTATCACGTCAAGATGATAGACTAAAAAAAACGAATAAAAAATTGTGTTAAGATTATGTCAAAAATTGTTGAAAATATGACAAATGATTGAGCTTCATCTGTATACCTCTAGCCTTAGAAGCATAACGTCACAGCTTTGAACCCTTAACTGATAAATTCCCCACTCTTCCAAGTATTACCTAGTCTCAGGTATATTGTGTCAAAACATGTAAGTAGTTGAACTGTGCCCATCTTAATCGTCAGGAAAACCAAAAGCATCTTCAACCTGTAAAAAATTAGATGATGCATCAGGGTCGAAGGAATATAATAGTTATATACAAAGGCATGTATGTGCCTAAGAAAAAATAGAGATTCTTACCGTGACAATCAGAAAAAAAATACGTTATTCTGTCCAGATAATTTACACCTCAAAGGGCAAAACCCATTCAAATGGAGGGACGTCTTTTACTCATTAGCCATGTGAATGCCAAACTGAGCATAACAAATAACCATTCCTTCATCCTTACACAATAAGTTTATTCCGTACCTCCAATAACATTCTCAAGATGCCAAACTGCATGCAATTTATAGTCTTTATTTAGATGCTTCAACAGGGCACTATGTGTGCATGAATCTGGCTGAATTTCTCTATCTAGCATATCCTTATACAATCTCAAAGCTTCTTGCCAATGGCCTAAGTTACAGTTCTCATTTATTAAAATAGTGTAAGTATACTTATTTGGAGAAATGCCCTTTGCTTGCATTTCTGCAAAAAATTTGTATGCTTGATCCACCTTTCTCACCTTGCAAAGTCCATTGATTAAAGCATTGTAGGTGATCACATTTGGACATACACCCTTCTCTTGCATCTCAAAGAAGTGCAAAATGGCTAGTTCCAACTTTTCCCTAGCTGCATATGAATGAATTAAAACTGTGTAAGTGACAACCGATGGAAATATCCCTTTGCTCAACATCTCATAGAACAGCACTCTAGCTTTCCTAAGATGCCCAGCCATCAAGTGAGCATGGATGATGCTGGTATAGGTTACATGATCTGGAACAAGTCCGTCATAGAGCATTTTCTGCACAAGTTTACTAGCTTCTTTCAAATTTCCCAACTTGTGGAGCCCATCAATGAAAACATTATAAGTAATCAAATCAGGAGGAAAGCCTTTGGATAGCATTTCTTCCTGCATACCAAAAGCCTTAGATGGGTCACCAAGCTTCAGCTCACCTACTATTCGAGTTATGTATGCAAAACGATCTGGCTGCAGACCTCGATGCACCATCTCATCAAATAATTCCTTAGCCATTGGCAAGTTCCCTATCATGCAAAATCCTCTAACAAGAATTGTAAACGTATATACATCGGGATTAGGCCCATGTTTGATCATTTCATCTTTTAACCGCCTGGCAACATCCAAGTCCCCCAATCTGCAAAGACCATCGATAAGTGTATTATAGGTCACAACACTGGGAACAAGACTTCTGTATCTTAACTCAACAAATAAGAGAAAAGCCTCCCCTAAATTTCCCAACCTGCTGTAACCATAAATTAGAGTGTTGTATGAAACCAAGTCCGGCATCAGATTCTTATCTTCCATTGCATCTAACAACTGCCTAGCATCACTCACTCTTCCCCACTTGCAAAGGCCATACATGATTGTATTATACGTCACCACCGTAGGCAAAGCTCCTCTACTCAACATCTCCTCCCCAAGCCTCGAGGCTTCATCAAGCAGCCCTTTCTCACAGTACCCGCGAATCAAGGGGTCATAAGTGTAAGCCGAAACCTTGAGTCCCAATTTCAACATCTCCTCGATCAGTGCCTCAGCTTGCTCCAACTCCCCTTCGTGAGACAAACCATTGACCAAAATATTATAAGTCAATTCGTTGGCCGAATACCCCATCCTCTGCATCTGAAGCAAAAGCTGCAGAGCTTGCTGAACCTCCCCTTGCTTGCAAAATGAATCCAACATTGTATTATATGTAACAGTTGTAGGCCTAATCCCACACTCCACCATCACATTATAAACCTCCCTCGCCACGCTGCTATCCCTAAGCAATTTTAGAACCCGATTGCAATTCTTCACATCGGGCAACAAGCCCTTACCAACCATCTTATAAAACACCAACAAGCACATCTCAAGCATCGACTTTTTCGCATAAATCCAAAACAATAAATCCAGAAGCTTAACAGATACCTCGGAAGAAAATACCCCGCCGTTAGCCAAAACATCCACCACGCCATCCATTCTGACGGAGACCACCTTCTCCATCACGCAATATGCAGACCGCATTAACCCGTTCCGCGCGAGAATGTCGAGAATAACGGCATACGCCAATTCAGATCGCTTGAACCCGGTTTGCCCCTCGGCCCATCGAAGGAACCGGAGGGCAGCCACGGGCCGGTGTCTAACCGTGTTAAGAACCCGGACCAGAACCTCCGGTTCGGAAACCGCGGCACGGAAAAGTACCACCTCGCGGTTGTTGTCGGGAACGGCGTCGTATGTGCAGAAGGAAAAGGAAGAGGGCAAGGGCAAGCGCGTTTTGAGGATTAAGAAGGGTTTTGAGGCTCTGAAAGAGAGGGTCATTGAGTAGAGTTGTGGCGGCTATGGCGGCGATGCCATCAACACTTCCAAACGCGCCTCCGCGTGGAACGACCTGCACCACCTTCTTTTCAACCCCTCCTTATGCCTAACCGATCTCGTGTCAACCCTCGGTGTCATTTATTACTTTGGACGCCGTCAAAGAAAGTGAAACAGGCTAAAAAAAAAAATAATAAGAATGAAAAAGTAAAATTATTTAAATAAAATATAATAGAAAAATATTAATGAAAAATATATGTTTACTTAAAATTAAAAAGTTTTAAATAATATAAAGACAAGAGGAATTTGTATATCGACATTTTTTTATAATTAATTTTTTTAAAATATTATTTTAAATTTTATTTTATGTTTTCTTTTTACTTTTAAATATATTTTTTATTTTTTTTATTTTTTAAAATATTAAACCATAATAATTATTTATTTTGTTATAACAGTTAAAAAATCTCATTGTATATAAAAATAATTTTTATTTGCATATATTTATTCATAATTCTTATGGTAAATTGAAACATTTTTAATATGTTGGTGGTACAATTTGATTCAGTTTTAAATTAAAAAAATTCTAAATTAAATCAAATAAATATTTAACAATTTGGTTTATTTTTATTATTAAAATACTTGTTAAATAAATAAGCATATATTTCATTTTTAATAATAATAAAAAAAATAACAATATATTTTAAATTATAAAAAACTAAAATTAAATGTCAAATAAAATTACATGTTTCATATCAAATAAAATAATAAATAATATTTTAAATAATGAAAAAAATTAATTAATAGTTTAAATAAAAAAAATATGTAAATAAAATATATTGCTATAGTAGATTTTATTATCACGTTATTGTACTGATTTAGTTGCTATAAATATGTATTATTCATATTGGGTTATTGTTAGGTTTCTCTAAAATAAATTTGCATGTTTTATTTGGTTATTTTGCTCTGTTCGCTCGTTCACAAATTGTAATTCGATTTGAGTTGGCTCATTTACAAATTGCAGTTCCATTTCAGTTGGTTTCTGTTAAATAAAAAATAAAGCCGATCGATTTTTAAAAAAAATAATAAAAGAAATGGAATTTGATTTTTTTTTAATCAGTTTTCAATTTTTTTATTAATTTGGTTTTAAACCCCTAGCATTTGTAACTGTCACCCATTTATAAACCTTTAATCAATTTTGAGGTGAGGTTCACAATCAACCTAAAGAATTATTTCAAATTTTTATTTACAATAATGAACTCTTTCAATTGGATTTCACAATTTATCCTACGTGTTTATTATTTAAGATTCATATTTTTTTAATTAAAATTTTGAGACTTTAATATTTAATAAATTAAAACTCATACAAATACATTACATTAATTTCTGTTACAATAGATTAAACGTAAAGAAAATTTTACGATAATAAATATTTATAACACAAACAATAAAACATGAGATGAAATAGTTAAATTTAATTTTAACCAATGTCTTCTTTAGGATGAAAATATGTTACATAATTAAAAATGAATTTACTTTAATTTATGTATCGTGGGGTTCTAAATAGTTGTATAGAGTAAATACCATTATTAAAATATTAATCATATATAATATTTTTACAAATCAAGATGTGAAACCAAATATTCATACAAAATCCACAACTTAGGCATAATTTGTGGGTTTATCATGATAACCTCGTGGGTTGTTTCGAAATTTTCATTAGTAAATTGCGGTGACAAATAATAATTCTCAGTTTTTGTTTACATGAAAATCACTTCTCATTAATATGAATAATATTGTGCATACATTTAAATGTCGGATCGCATGATGACAATAATTTTTAGCTCAATGTATCCGGCATTATAAATCTTGAAGGAAAATCCCAGATTCCTCTCATTTCTATTCCAACCAGAATGATTAACAAAATTTAATATTCACTTTCCCATTCACCATTGTGCCCACCTGAAAATACATGTAAAGCTATCAGGATCTTTGGAACCAACACACTACATCATTTCATGTTGACAAATTAAAACTTACCACGAAAATAGGACTCAAATCATTGTTCCAATCGCAGACATATTCCTCTACGTCAACCAACTTTTCTGAAGTATAAGATAGTCCTGCGTGTCATTTTACTTCGAAAAAACCCATGGATAACGTAAAAAGATACCAAAAAATCGTATCAGTTTCAAACGAAATATCTCACCTAATATACAAGAGTTGACAGGCAAATGGCGTATCATAGGTTCCTCAACAACACTAAGAAGAATTTCATTAGTATCTTTGGCCCGCACTGAAGATTTTTGAAGGAATTCCACTATAGTATTGCATACGCTTCATTATGAAATAATATATTAGACAAACTACAATATAGTTGGAAATATATATGTATAAAAAAAAAAAAATCAAAGGAAGGAGAAAAAGATAAGAAAGTTTACTTACGACACAACAGAATCGATTACATGTAACAAGATTCTTGACTTCAAAACTGCTCCTTCATCAATTTTAGCATATATTGCCCCTACAATGCCAGCTTTGTTAAGAGGACTATCCAAAATGCAACGGAGAGAGCCTAAAGAAGCCAAATAGTTAATTATAATTTTGAATGATATTTATGCAAATCAGTACAGGGCATAAGAAGCACATTAATTTTTCACAAAAGGTATCATCCTTTGAATAATAGTCCATAAAATAAGGCATGGCATGCAATCCATACTCTATTATAATGAAATAATTAGCTTTAATTTTGGTTGAATTTCCTGTTAAGTGTGATGTATCCTCTGCTTTATCTATTCAATTCACTGCAATTGAAAATTTGTTATATGGCAAAGTTAATCAAGAGATAACACCAACCACGTGAATTATATAAGTCTGATAATCATTTAGATTCTTATTTCAATTCAACTTAAAATCTGTGCATCCTTATCAGAGTTCAGAATTTTCATTTCTAAACCAAAAAGAAGAAAGTCGAAAATAAATAAATAACGATGGCACATGCTAAGCAAAGCATATTTTGATTTTCCATCACAATTTAGAGAACATGAGCAATAAAAGTGGACAACCTATAGCAAAGTATAAAGTTTAACAACATGATGATGATGATTATCATGTAAAATACCTTCTTAACATGAACCTTTTTCAGAGAAGCATAGTGAAGGATGAATATGGCAGGAGATCACACATTCTGTGGAGAATAGACCATATGGGTAGATTAAAATCCACCATTTGAGACAGTTTCCTCCTTCTTAACATCTTTCTCTTCATATCTGTCACTGGTCAACTTCAAAGGTATGCTGCAATCAAAATCACCTATCGTTCACCACCAAAGTATACTACTCTTGCAAAGGATAATTAGAGAAGAGCACAACAGAGGCACAACAAAGGACCTTCACAAGCTCCTTAGAGAAAAATCACTCAATGAGAAGATGGTACCTAGACATTTTGATCAAGAGAACATCTGTTTAGAAACCATTTTGTAAACAAGTACTGAGAGTGAGTTCTTTTATATTACATATTTAATAAATAACATGTTATGATTTCTTTGAAAGCCACAATCAGAGCAATTTACATCAACAAATACAGATTATGGTCATTCTAGTAATTCAAAGTACATAAGCAGGATCAGTACAAGAAATCAGTTTTATATCTGATAAAATATAGTTGTATCAGACATTTTCTAGCAAAGTGCTCACCCACTGTTTTTGTTTTACACTATTTAAGGTAATAAGGAATAACCTTCTCTAACCAATCACTACTCCACTAATTCTATTACCGATGGAAGAAATATAACTCTTCGTACTATTGACAGCTACATAACACAAAACTAAAGGTGTACACAAACTGGACTGGCTGCCACAATAGAAGCCAGGATGTAATAGGTTAGAAATTTCTCTGGTAATTTGCTTATTATAATCAGATAACTATCCTATTTGCAACATTTATACAAAAGGCCAAACAGTAAAAATCTACAAAGCATCAGTAGTGAAACAAACAATGGTTGAAGAGAAGAGAAGGAGATACGCAAACGGTGAAGAGTATAAAATATACTTTTAGTCCCTCAATTTTATCTTATTTTTAATTTTATAATTTGAAAATTGCCTTTTTTGTCTCTTTATCCTAAATACCATTAAACATTTAATGGTTACAAATCACTTATGTAATAAATTTTTAATCAGAAATGATGTCTCATACTCATTTGCAATCACTTCACGTCTCATGCCACATAAATGCACATGCACACCTGCATAAAATATTGTGGGGAATTATATAATATCCTATTTTCGACTTACTTTCTTATCCATTTTTTCAATTTTGGTAGAAGATTTGAAGGATTAAAATCATTTTCAAGCCGAGGATTCACATCTCAGGATATGATAGTCATCCAAAATGCAGAAGCAGGCTGAATACAAGACAACAAATTATAATTTTTGATAAAACAAAGAAAAAAGATACAGATTCAAAATCTTAGTCAGTCTAATGGGGGCACATACAATGGTGCAGCCACAGACATAATGGGTAATAAAGTCATTTTATAACGGAATATTATGTTCTATTAAAACATTCAATTTTGAATATGTTAACCTCAAGGAAAAGTTTAGTGTTTGTCTAAAGTCAGACATAAAAATTACTTTGAAGACACAGATGAAATCTGTCTTATAGAAAACTTTGAATGAAATTTAAAAGTGGAAAATGTTAGTGTCTGCAATGCTGGCCAAATGACATCAGTATCAGTTGCTTGGAGATGTAAAAAATAAACAAATAAATGTAGAAAAATGTACAAGATGTGAAGCTGAAATAGCAGCCAAACATTTCCTCTGAATCTAGAGATATACACTCACTTCTAAACTCAGCCGAGCGATCATGGCGGAGCTAGGCTAAGGTGCAAGTCCAAGCCGAAGCCGTCATCAAAACTGGACCCCACCTCTCCTCTAGAGAGTTTACTCAGAGATGGCCCATCAATCCTCCCATAGTGGGCTCCGGCCTGTACTTGGGAGCCCATACTGGAAAATGCGGACGACGAATCCCCTACTCCGCCAACATAGGGCAACACCCCTGCACCCGCCGATCTCGCACCCGTAACAATGCTACCGTTACAGTTACTCATGACGGCACTGTTAGCCGAGGGGAACACGCATCCGTGTGAAACCGACACGTGGAAGGGAGGAGGCGCAGCACGCGGTGGCATGTACACCCACGACGGCGGGGCAGCCGGCGCCATCACTGGTCCCTGAGTGGCCAGCAGGTGAGGCGGCGGCGCGAAGGCTGAGATGATCGGATTCCGAACGAAAGAAACGGCGGCGTTTCGCGTGGCTTGTAACTGCGCGCGCTTCAGCTGTTGCCGCTCTTTCTTGTGCGCGTTTTGGTGTCCACCGAGAGCTTGCGAGTTGGCGAACTCGCGGCAACAGTACTGACACTCGTATTTGCGGTCGCCGGAAGAGGTCGGAAACCCGGAGGCGCCGCTGGAGTCTGGTGACGTAGGCTTGGCGGTTGAATCCGACGCATCTTCCAGCGCGACGCTTGTTTCGGCTTCGTCCACGATATCTTCGTGAACGAAGCTGAAGCCGAAGAGTTTCAAGCATGCGGGGGAATTCGGGTTTATCCTTTTGGTGTGACCGTGGATTTGATCCTCCATGGTTTTGGTTTGTGTTGAAGACAGGGCGGTGAAAATGTGAGACAGGAAGTAGAAATAAAGTTGTGTGGTGTTAAGGTATTTGTTGCATGTCTATTGGTTCTATTTATACATGAAATTTTTTCTTATTAAATTGAAGTACAAAAACCAATATATAGAGGATTATTAAAATATTTATTTCTAGCTCTTAGGCTACTTTAGAAAATTACGAGTTAAGTCCTCCCAAATCTCTAAATCATAAGCATGAATTTGAGAGTAATTTAGGTTATGTAGGGTGGGATTTGACAATAAAATAAAATATAGTTATTACACAAATTTAGGAGACAAAGGGTTTTTGCGGACATCCCAATGAAAAGAGAGGCAAGAACAATGAAATTAGGTTTATTATTGGAAGAAGGGTGATTGTTATAATATTGAAATAAAAATGGAGAGGGGGAATGGGAATTTGATTTGATGCATGTGATGGGAGTATGGGAGGGGTTTGAAAGAGTCCTATAATACAGAAAATGATTGGGTTTGGATGAGAAGCTTATAACATTCTTTTTTCTGCTTCACACGGTTCCTCCCCATATACGTACAAGCTACTAATTAATTATGCATTTGTGTAGCATGCAAGTAGGTGGTTGGAAGAGAAACTCTGAAAGCTTCAACCAATAATTAACTTGGGTTATGTATTGCAGCATCAATGGCATTGAATCAGCTGAGTAATTAATTCATTCTAAATTTAATAGTCAAATGGACCCATATGCTCTTGTTTTGTTTAGCATCCAACCCATGTTAATTAATTTCAATGTCCAACCAACAACTACAAGCTACGAGTCTTGGACTCTCCCTTAATGCAATTAGGTCAGAAAAGCGTAGATGGTGTTTTGTGTGACACTTCCTATAACTTCCCCAATCACAAGCTTCCCATATTGTTTTATCATGAAATATATTATTAGTTTTATATGAAGGAGTGGACTGTGTTTATCAAATTATTTTCTATTTTTAGTTCTCTGATTACACCAAACTTCCCTTGCCTTGGCTCAATCTTATAAGCCGACACACTCTTGCCCACCACTCTATCTCTCTCTAGAAAAGTCAATGCCAGAGAGAGAAAGAGGAACTTTTATAGTATGATGGCATCCAAGACCCCAAACTAGGATATAACACTAATCTAACACCGTTAGTCCCACTAGTCACTGCTCATGGCCCACGTGTCAACATCATATTCACCCTTCATATCTCGTTTTAGATACGCATGTTTCACATTACTTCAACCTCTTCTCTCACATGTCACGCCTTCCCATGATGGATATTTCGTCAATAAACACATCATGCTAATATGATGTTTTCCCACAGCCAGAAGTCTAAGTCTATTTCTACCAACTTTTCTATATTTTTTAAATTATAAATTAATTTGTAAAAACTCTCTCACTTCTCTAAAATCTTATTTTTCATTTGTCTATAAGTTTATTTTATTTTATTTTATTTTTATATCTTTCTCTCTTTCAAAAAAAACTCAGTATAAATCTATCAAACACTTTACATGAGAGTGTCTTCTTTATCTTTACCGTATTCAATAATTACTTTTTTAATATTAAAAAATTAAAAATTTTAATTATTATTATTATTATTATACTATTTTCTTATATATTATTTCTAGTTTATTATTACTATTATTATTAGTTTTATAATTTTTTTAATAATATTAAAATAAACTTAATTTAATTTTATGTAGTAATTTAAAAGATAGGAAAAATAAGTTAAAGTTATGAGTTAGTTTGTGTTACAGAAGAATAATAATTTTTTAAATAAAAATAATATTATTTTATTAAAAATATATATACATTATAAGAATTTACTTATTTTAAAAATAAATATTTTAATAATTATTTATTCTAAAATTTAATAAAATTAATTATTATTTTAAAATAATAAATAATTAAAAATTAATGATTATATAAAAAGTAAGTTGTTATGATGCATCTCTTTTAATTTATAATTAATAAAATTTAAATTCTTAAAATATAATTTTTTTATTTTAAATTTAATTTTTTTATTAATTAATTTTATATAAATATATTACTATTTTTTAAATTTTAATTAACTTAAAATTGATCCGTTACTCGTTTAGTGTAACATAGGATGAGATAAACTAAATTGTTTAATCCATTTTAAAATATAAATTATCAAATTTTTTTACTTACCTATAAAATCAATTTAGACTGACCGAACTGATATTTTAACAACTTAAATCTCTTTTATTATTATCATAAATATTATATATGAATATTTTAAGGATGTGATATTTAAGTGACAATTTAAATGCGTAATATCCAAAATATCTAATTTGATGTAACGATTACTAAACATTTTTCACATATGACATTTCTCTCACTTCAAGTCTCTCGTCTCTAATAGGAGAATTATACACGAGTTATCATGTGACTTTATTTGGATGTTATAACATTTGATATTTGATACTTTTTTTGTATCCTAATCATTCATGAATGATTATATCGTTCAAATTTCTTTCCTCATACTTCTCCTATACAAAACCTTTTCTCACTTTATATATATGATTTTAATAAATAATTTATTCACATAATAATAGAATATTAGAATTATTCTTGAAATATCTACGAACTTCTATCTTGGATAAGCCATTCATGTAATTTACTGTGAATCATTTAATGTCAGTGGATAAAAGAGGTTTTATGAGTGAGCTACCTGCCTTTGATATATGTAGGGTTTCCATATGTTTCAGTTCTCTGTACTTTGGAGCTACTGAACAATGGGTTTCTCCACAACGTTGCGGGTTTCTTTCACTCATCATTTTCCAAAACAGTTCCAGATCTCCATATTTGTGTTTTTTTAATTGTTTCTTTGTGTTCCTCTGAAGAAAGAATCTGGTTTCTTGGATGTAAGCTAAGAGAGTAGTTTCAAATAATGCATTTTATGAATAAATCTAATGGTTATTATACTCTTAATCACACTAAAAATCATATAAGAAACTAGTCCACAATAGCCGCACCAATAGTTATTGGCCAGTTGGGTTATTTGTTACGGGCATTTAATAAGGTTCAGGTGGTTTATTATTAAACTGAGGGTTTGGGTCCCCACCATTACGTGTTGATGATGATGAATAATTGTTTAGGATGTTTGCGTGATTGACGTTGAAATCTATATTTGTATATTGGTTTTCTTTCTCTCTGAGATCTGTGCGAATCTTACTAACTACGAGAGAGAAAGTGAGAGTGAGTGATTCTGGGGCTTGTAATCTCCCACTTAAAAAGCATAATAATCATAATCATAATGGCTCATAACAACATTTATTTAAAGATAAAGAAAAATATCCCCCTTCAATTCCAAAGTCTTCATCACAACCCCTAATATGGTCCCACCTTCTTCTCTCTTTCTCCTGTATGTGTGTTATCTATTCAAAGCCCTCCATGTTAGTCAAATTTTCCCATGTAAGAAAAAAATCTTTGTAAATCCCCGGAATGTGGATCATCTTTGCAGTGAAAAGCTTATATTCTTTTTCCACCATTGGATATGATTAATCATTATTAGCATAATCTCTAAATTCCCAACCGTCATATTTAGTAACTTTGATTTTCTAGAAAAACTCTGATCTCTGTTCTTTTTCCAGCTGTGAGTGAATATCTTTGTAAAACTCCTTGTCAACAAGATGATGCATGAAGGAATGGTTATAAAGGTCATTTCATCAATCTTTTCTGGTGGGACCGGATCATGAACATGAACTCCTATAGAACATGGGGGTCACCGGAGGAGCACTATAATGCATGTAGACTTATGACTCACATTAGGATCTCCATTAATAAGTTTAGAAAAGAAAAAGGTTTAAGGTACTGCTAAACCTAACAACCTTTTTGCTTTATTATGTGGATCCAATGATTTTGCTCTTTGGGTCTTTCTTACTAGTCATGGCCCCTTGAAAAGGTTAGAAAAACCAGTGCTGGGCCACTATAGTCCCACTATGGGGCTCAAGGAGTGAGTCCTACGTTCACACAGAAGAAAACATGTACATTGAATCGACAATCTCCTACAAATGTGTGTAGTCATAAAGGTTAAAAGGAGTTCACGTAGAGGGATATGAGTAGTAGTTGTTGGGACCAGTGGTGGCCAAGCAAACTCTTGTACCATTTTTTGGCTTCATCCTGCATGTTACTTGTCCTCCATATTTGGCCTTTTAAAATATGTTCTGAATGCTCCACTTCTCTTTGATTTCTTTGGTTAGGTTGTTTGACAATGGGAATTAATTTCAAGGTCTTATTCAGGCCATCTGTTGCAGTAACATTAATTCACACTCCAACCTATATTTATATATACTATTTGCAACAACTGACTGATTCATACATCCACCTAAATTTCTGACCTTGTCTTCCATTCAATTCACTAAAATAAATTGCCATGTAGAGTAGTGGGTGGGGTCTAGTTAGGAAATAGGGTTTTGAGTCACCCACAAACATAGTATACGGTTTATTTGGGGCTATATATATATATATATATTAAGTTAAACCCTTCTTCCTGACTTGAGCATACACAAAAGCAGTTGGGGCAAACAGCATCTATTGATTAAAACTTGTTAGAAGTTGAAATTGTGAAGTGAAAAGGTGTAGAAAAGAAAGAGGGAGAGGTGGGTGGGTGGGAAGAAAGAAAAAGTGGGAGAGGATGGTACTGGGCAAAGTTTGAAAATGGTTAGACATGAACTCAAGATTTTCTCCACTGATGTAGGGTGATAACACATGGGAAGGTATATCTGATTGGTTCCACACTGTTTGAACATAAGTAGGTCCCACCCACTTTGGGACCACATGTGCAAGATTTATAGCACTAGCCCCCACATGAACACTTAACTCTTAGGCTTGAATTTAAGTTTGGATGGTGAGAGAGAATTGTCCAATCATGCTTTACTAGTCTTGTTCATTCATAAACAACTGTCTTCGTTCTTGAATACTAAATTATGTGTTTCTTTATCTCTTCCTCTTGTTTCTATTCTGTATATTTTTCTTTTCTTTCTGTCTATTGAACTTGCTGTAATGCTTTTCACCATCAATTTGAGAAAAAAAAATTCACTTTTGGAGAGCATTAATCATGCTTTCTTTTGTTGTTGATTGAAGTGATGCCCGGTATTATTCATTTAAGATCGCCCAAATCGTGATTATGGCCCACCAACTGGTGCTTATCAAGGAGGATTAACCAATGAGACAATAAATCACAATATTTAATGAGTGATTATTAAGAGACATGATCCTATCATATTAGAACCTCCATTAACTTTTTAATCATCTTTGTTTCTTTTCGCAACCATTACTTTGGAAGCATCCAAAAAGGATGAAAAGATAAACCCCAATGTGACTTAATTTTCAAGTTGGAAATCCTCTCTTTGGATATATTCAAAGCACTTTTTAAGCACTCCCCCCAAACAATGTGGGTGTGACTCAATTAGCCCCTTCATGTACTCCAAGTGACACCACCTACTTCATTTTAAAATTGCAACTCCCTCCTATTTTAAAAAACCAAATCAATGGGTGGAGTTAGCTTTAAGTCATGTGAAGTGTCTCTCTCTCATATTATACTATTTATCATCACTAATCTAATCAACATGGAGCTATGCCTAGATTGTAGTCCAGAATGTCCTCATTTATGAGAGAGAGAAAAAAAAATCAATTATATAAACCCTTGTGCCTTTTAGGGTTTAAAATAAAGGTTTGGAAAGTCCCGTGAATTGAGTTGTGGAGAAAAGAAAGGGATCTTGGTGAATCAATAAGACAAAAAACAAGTGTTTGGTTTGCTAATAAAGTGAGGGACATATAGACGGCTATGCAAATGCTATATGACACCCACATAACATATAACCCAAACTCATCCTTACTTGGGAAACATCTCCACATGACATGACAAAATCCAATACCTGTCTTCTATATATATATATATATATATATATATATATATATATATATATATATATATATAACCCCCACAAAATAAAACACCAAGTATTAAAACTGGATTTTATTGGAAAGTTTTTTTTAATTAACTTCTTTTTCAAAGATTTATGGAAAGATAATAGAAGAAACTTGAAAGTTAATTATAATAATCTTTTAGAAATCATTTTAATTAAAAAATATGTAAAAAAAAATCATATGTACACGTATGTAACTAATATATCACTTATCTTTTTCCCATCAAAATATCAAGTTAAAATTTAACTGATTAATTAACAGCTTTGAATAAGGCCCATAAAAGATTATAATAATAATAATAATCAAGATTAGTCAATTTTCAATTAAACCGAAAACCACAATTAATAATACTTATTATGTAAAAAACATTAATATGTCACTAATATTTTTCACTTATTATTGTTCACATCACTGTTTGATAACATAATTAATAAATGTAAACAAAATCATAATCAGTACATGAAGACAGGTCAATTTTTTATTATTGCACTAAAATAAAAATTAATAATACATTATAAAAAAAACATTTTGTATCAATAAAAAAATATTTAATATCAAAGACCCCGCTAATTGTATTAAAGAGAGAGAGTTTATAGTAATAAATGGTCCTCAAACTAAGCTGTCACATACATAAAAACAATCATGGTTTAGATTCTCATACTATGTTTGATGAACGAGGAATCTACCATAATACCCTGTTTCAGTTCACATGAGTCACCAAAAGAATATACATATAGAAAGGTTTTATGGATTTCTTAACCTACGTGATGTGTTTGTATTAACAAACAAAAGCAGTAAAACCTATAAAATAAATTCCTAGGGTTTCTCGCATATTGTTTCATGGGGCCAAAATCACGACATTTATAAACGAGTTTTTCATAAAAAAATTCTAAAATTTTAAAAGTATATATACTTTTTTATACATAAATTATAATCAGTTAAAATATAAGTTAAGTGGTACAATCTCTCTGATATAACTTAAGTTTTAACTTGTATATAAAATAATTTTAATTGATAAAAAAAGTGAATTTGATTTTTTTTTTCATATGCATTTTTTAAGAAGTTCTTCTATTCAAATAAGTCCAATGTAGTGGACAAGTTTGAGATTCAGAACAAGTGAATAAGACAAACTTGTTTGGTTTAGTAGGAATATGGTGGATAAAGTAAATGAATGCCTTTGTCCTCATCCTTATTTTATGAGGTTGCAAACTATAAGCAAATGAATATAAGTGCACAATGTAGATACATAAATGCATTTGATTTGCTGATTTTTAAACTAATGAAATAGTATTGTAATGTGTGGTGGCACTAATTATTTGTCACAGTCAATTTCTTCACCAGTTTTAAAGTTGAAAGTAGCCATGAGTTAGGAATTGAAGGAAAGAAAACAAGTTATATAATTAAAGTCCAAGTCACATGGGTAAGTACTGGTGTAAAACAAAGTTAATTGGTTAGTGGATTAGGTCTGAATTATTTTCAGCAAAGTTTCTGAAATGGTAGCTGATTGCATATTTCTGACTTTCTTAACAATCTAACCCAAAACCCAAAGAAAAGCAAACCAATTTATCATTGAAGAAACTCCTTATCAATCGTACCATCTTGCTGATATAATCTTTTATTGAGTAGAGTAGGTTGGTGTTTAAGGACAAGGAATCAATCAGATTGATAAAGTGTTTGTGGAGAAGAAGATACACAACAGTGGCTTCTCACTTTGAAGAGACATGTGACTAAGACAAACCTTACCTAATTAATTAATGCATTGGAAAGAACCTTCAAGAGAATTCTATTCATTGCACTTTTCAAAATCGATATGGACATTGATGGATAGCTGCATTTTAATTTGATTGGTGACAAACACTCTTAGAAGCTTTTAGGAATTTTTTTTTCTCAGTGGCTTTTCTCTTTATATTTAAACCAACAAATACAATTTTAATATATAATATCGTTTTCAGGAATACATTTTTATTTATTTTCAGTCTTTATTTACATAGGTGACTTAAGAGTAAAATAATGTAAGTTTTAAAGACAGACTATTTACTATTTTTAAAATATATGTAAATATATCCAAATCATAATAAAAAAGGTGATTAAATAAGTTGTGTTTTAATACTTTTTTTAAATATACATCTATCTACTTAATTTATATGAATAAAAGATCAATTAATTTTATATTAATATATATAATTTATATACAACGTAGAATTATGATAACTTTATATTAACTACATCTGCTTAATTTGCAGGTTTGAAACCTCTTGGTAGTGTTGGTGTGATATGTGGAAGAATGAAAAAGATGGGTGATTTAAGAGCATAATTATATATTTAAAAGCTTAATCAGTTGGGAAAATATTGTTCATTCTTTTGAACTTTTCCACATTTTAGTCCGTTGTGGTTGGTAGGAAAACAGCTAAGAAAACCTAGCTTATTGTCACACTTTTAACTCATTGTATTAACACAATATATTAGCTTTTATTTGAAAATTACATTAAGAAAAATGGGCCTCAATTGGTTCCTAAGCCCAAAAACATTATATAGTCCACCTAAATAAACACCCGTCCACGTACGTACACATCTCGAGTATACCAGGTTTAGCAAATGAAAACTGTAGTTTGACAACCAAAGAAACAAAACCTCCAAACCACAACCCTCATTTAAAATAAAATATCATTAAAAAATTTAATTATTATTTCTATTTTAATTTATTTTTATTTTCTTTCTTCTCTCACAGCCATTCCTTACACATTTTCTTGCTCATATTTTTCATCCCTTCCATAATCTCTGTCTCTCGTAGCGGGCTCAGTCACTCTGACGGCGTGGTCACTCTGTCCGGCAACATTCTCGCTCTATCTGGTAGCGTGTCCGTTGCATTCTACTCATTGTTGTGTTCTCACTCTTTGAAGGGAGCGTGTCCTCTACTCTTGTATTATCGCTCATTCCTAGTACCACATTGGTCTTTTCCTCTATTGCTCTCTCTTATATTCTTTTCCTAAGTTCTCTCCCTCTCTCACCCAAGTGTTTCGAGGTTAGTTTTCCATCTGTTATATAGGTTTAGGTTTTACAATCTTTATTAGTGTGTGACTCATTAATATGGGATAATAATGTTTGATGTTGTATGAATTGAAAACTCTGATGCATTGTGTCATAGTTGTTGCTGATTCAGTCTGCATTATTAGATCTTCACCTAGCATTACTGCTATACCCTACATCATTCTTTGGGAAAAGTTGACATTTTGACAACCTGTACTACATAGATTGAAATAAACTAGGTTCCGTTTACAAGTGTAATATAGAGGTTGACCTATGTCAGTACAAGGATCATATGATATTTTGGGGGGTTTTAAAATTAGGAAATGAAAATAGCAATTGAAACTAAGAGAGGGAAAACTTAAAAAAGAATTAACTTATTACCATATTTTATTTTGAACTTAGCTATTTTTAAATAGTTTACTCCATTGATTTTATGAATTTCAGTAGAAATGGAAGAGTAATGATTTTCTTGAGGAAATTAGAATGCAAGTAGCTAACAAAAGTAAGACCCTTTTCTGATCTATACTCTTGTAGCAACTCAAAAGATATATACCTCGCTCCACATGCATTACAAAGTATCTTTGGATCTAATGATCGTAACTTTTGCTGTGATCCTCTGAGTTAATTGGGTGCACCTCCTTGACATTGATTGTTGACTATTGATACTTTTTTGTTCAGAGTCCCTAAAACTTTTCTTGCTAATCACACTCTCCTTCTCCACCACTTCTTAATTCACTTTGATCACTTATTGCTCCTATCCTTTGACTTAGGTATAATAAGTTTATTTTCAGCCAACTAATAAGTTTGTTTAGGAGGAGGATGGTCAAAATTTAAGTCTCATAATGTTAGTTTAAGTTATTTTTTATCTGTTGGTATAATTCTTGGATACAATTCAATTATTTTTTTGAAGAGGAGGTTGAATATATTAAAATTAACTTATTATTAAGATTATTTTGTATTTTGTCATTATAAGTTTAATTTTGTTAATTTGTAACAACTTTATTTTAGGGAAATATTGTTGGAAAAAGAAACCGACGAAAAAAATTATGTGTATATTAATTATAATTATTTATTTAAAAGTTATTTCTTAAATATGTTATATATATATATATATATATATATATATATATATTATATGTGCGGATAAGATTACGATAGAAATAAAGATAAAGTATATAACCTAAATAAATGCAAAGATGACTATATTACAACAAACAACTATTAAAGAAACTTCATTTAAATTACTACTGCAAATAAAATAGTCATTACAAATTTTTAGTAATGTCATAAGAGAATTAGGTAGTTGATGGATAGTTAGTGATAATTCTTTTAAAATTAAACATTATCTTGACTCATTCACATGTGTTGATGTTTGTTTTACTTTAGATTTGCGCATAAGGGGAACTAGTTTCCTTAGAAGACACTGGTAGATGTATAGTAAAATATTTATTTAAACAAGAATAAATAACATTAACAAATATAGTTCAGAAGCTTAAAGAAAAAAAATGAAAAATGCATATAATTGACTTTTGTAGGCTTAATATCTTATTTGTGTGGACAATATATATTTTATTTTCCTTGCACTTCTCATGCTATTAATAGTGTTTCATTTAGTTTATTAGATGATATAAAGACATTGTATGGTTATAATTAAGGTTTTGTTGTGCATAGTTTATTAGTAGACAATTTGTGTCATCTTAGTGAAAACTTTAATTAGCAAAAACAATGTTTCTCAATTATATGTTGTTGGGTGTATCATTCTCTTTCTGATAACTACTACACCAAACACTGTTACAATCCTTATAAATAATTGCTTTATTGTTTGCTAAAAATGCATCATGACTTATCACATATTATAATGTCATAAAGTTGGACAGTGGAACATGTTTCCTTCCTATTGATACACAACACACCATCTATTTCTCACAGTTTGTTGAATGGCCAAAAGTGCAGTTTTAAATGTCTAAAATACAAACTACAATTCATGTTAAACAATGTAAGTGTTGTTGTCTACAACATATTTTATTTTGTTTTTAAAACATCTAACTATTATTTTGTGTTGCTAAGATATAAAGTGTTCATGATTTTAAATTGTATGGGATTGGGAAATCTCTACTAAACATGAGGCATTCCAATTTTTGTAAGAAGCTTTGAAATTTTCTAAAAAAATGTCGATATGCATTCCTATGGTGGTGCCTCACACAACTTGCAACATCTTTTGTCTGATAAGCGGATGTGAAGATAAAAAACATAACAAAATGAAAAAAAGGAATTGTTGAACTTGAGTGTCAAGTAAAAGTTTTAAACAAAAAAGTTGGGGAACAAATGTATATGTCATCTGTAAATGTAAGAAATACTTGTTGAATTATTGACAAGCGTACCAAAATTATTAATCGCAGTATAGTATTTCGATAAAATAAAAGTCGATCTCACGAGAAACAGTTTCAATGAAAATTCCCAATTATGCTTACTAAGTATATTAAACAGATTGGGTTTTGCAAATAAGAGTTTAGTTGAATTTAAATGACAAAAAACTGTAAATTATTGAGAAAATATCAATTAAAGATACTTAGGATTGACTTCCTTCTTTATCCCTCTTTTGTAATGGTTATGTCAATTAAGAACATCAATTAACCTAACAATGTTGATTTCTCACACATGAAATTCATAAGAAAACCTAATAAATGTTGATTCCTCACACAATTAACAGATTTTCCAGCATTAGGGTTAGGGTGTTAAGCAATTGATACATTCATTCAATTCCTGGAAATTAACGTAACAAATATTCTTACCATGATCTAGGGTTCAAGATATATTTTCCAATCATACCTCAAACAATCAAGAATAAATCATTTCAAAGCATAAAGGATAAGAATAACAACATCAAAACATAGATTAAGATCTCAAAATATCACCATGATACAAAAGAGTTCAAAGGAAGTGCACCGAATCTTAAGAGAATGAAGTTAGTCACTAATGTTGACCATTACAATGCTCCAATTGATGAAGAAGTGAAGAATTGATGAAGATTAGACAAAACCCTAACAGTAGTCGTGTCTCCTCTCCTCCAAGACTGTTTCCTTTTCTCAAAACACAACTTATCTTTTTATAAGAGAATTTGGGTCGGGCCTCGCATCATTCATTCGCTTAAGCGCTCTTCTTTCTTTCAATTTTACTTCAATTATGCTGACAATTATGCTCTTTACTCTTGTATCAAGGTATTCTCGAATTCATCCTATATTGGGAGAAAAATATATTAGAATTAACATAAGTTAAGTGGTTTCATAACAATTCAAGGCATAATTATATCAACCTTTTACCACTTAACAACTCCCTCCAACCTAGAATCTTGCTTGTCCCAAGCAAAGTAGTTTTTTCAAAACAAAATCATCACCTATTATCTCTTTCTCTTCCAGAACCACAACATAAAAATTTTCAGAGGTGATGCTCACAACTCCAAATGAAAATAGAACACATAAGCATTCAAGTTACAGAAACCAACAAAAAATAATTAGTCCTCAACTATCCTTAGAGAAGCATGATCTCTCAAAAAGAGTTATATATACTCATATCTAATTATCATAGGTAAGTGTTTATCTCATTCAATCACTTCATTTAGACAATCCAATATTGATAATCATCTTCAAGCAATCAACAATTGTTAAACAAGACTTAAATCAAAAGGTCTTTTGGTTTTGCCAATTTTTTTTTAAGCTTTGTTTTTCCTTTTTCTTTACACTTTTTTTTTTAAGAATACACCCCAATAATACTCATAGGACAACAATAGTAATACCCAACAATAAGAAAAATAGTGACATTCATACTCATTTCCTTTCTCAAATATAGGAAGGTAGATAAATAATGTTTAGGCTTAAGGGTTCTATTTAAGAAACAATATTATTTTTTGCTCATAAGGGGTTCAAATGGATGTCCTATAATTAATGCAGGGTTGACTATTTGGCTCTGGGTTATATCTACTACAAAGAAAAAAAATGTCTTTATCATTTTCAAGTCTTGCCAACATGTAATCATATCAAAGAATCAACCAATATCAGTTATCATCACGAAGTGTTGACACTCAATTTATCTGTTTGTGGTACTCTGCTCACCTGGGTTTTGGCTAGCTTCTCCAATTCAGTTAATTCCTAATTTTCCTCATCAATTCCTTTTCACTATCATATTAAATATCTCAAAATCACTTGTTATTGGAAACAATCAAAATTATTTTTCACGTTCTAGATTTAAATTAGACAATAAACAATAATCTCATATATGGCTCTAAAACAA